CAATGCCAATTTACCATGGATGCTAGGACACAAAGTAAAGCTCTGTCATGTGACAAGACACTTAAGGGTTAAGCCAGACAGGTAGGGGCTAGCTGTTTGCTACCAGGACACACACACACACACACACACACACACACACACACACATTCTGTGTGAGTTAAAAGTGTACACAGTAATCACACCACATGCAGTGCAGGTGAGAGAGGGGCACCCATATTACACCATCATATTAGTCAGGCAGGTTGGTTGAGGTCAAATGACAGAAACCCCCAGAAGTTGGCACCAACGTAAACCTGACCCATCCCCACATTGCTTGAGTATTAATTAAAATACAAATCATGGCCAGGAGTCTGACCTGCCAACAAATCCATGAAGAATGAGCTTCTAATGCTACCTACATATGTCTGCTTTAAAGGGACAATAGTATCCAGGTGTGTACCTGCAGTGAGAGGCAAAAGGGGTGTGGCTTCCAAGGAACTGGAAAATGGGATGTTGGCATTAATAAGCCTAGCAATCACATATTTTAACACATTTCAATTTATTATCTTAAAAATGCCGAAAGTGCCATTGGCCTCAATGTAAGCAGGTGTTGTAGATCCTCATCAATGTGATCACGCAGATGTAGTGTATTTTTAAGTGCGAATACTTCTAGTCTGCTTATTCTGTGCTGGGTGTTGCTCACATCCAGAGACTTGTGGTACTTTTTCAGGAGATGTCTGAGCGCAGGGTGTGGATGACGGGCAGAGGGGACGAGGAAAAGGAGCTACAGTTTGAAGAATTTGTTGCAGGCAGTGACATTCAGCATTTTCAGAGACAGGTAAGAAACTGCCCAGAACAAAGTACAGTATTAAGAGCCTTCAGATACTTGGGAAAATGCTTTTGTTTGTGAAATTTGACTTCACTTTTTTTCCTGCCAACTCTGAAGCCAAAGAAAAAGAAGTGTTGCTCTGTGTCTTGAATGCAGAGGAGACAGTAGGTGAAGAGGGTGTTGCCTGTCAACCCACTTAGGCCTTTCCCCCCTGCTTGTCTTCTTGGAGCTGCTGTGTTGTGCATGGCTTGCTTGACATATGTTAGATTTGCTGTGGTCTTTGTATTTTACTCAGCAACATTCTAAACCCATTGTTTGAACACCAGGGGTCTTTATCACAGTCAGTCTGCGTAACCTGTTATCATGAAGTTGCTGCTTAACTCATTTGCTGTATCTTCTCCTAACTGCATGGTCAGGCCTAACCAGACCGCCTATACTGTGTGAGCGCAGCATTTGGCCCATGATGGTAACTGATTACATTTGACTTCATTTATTTTCCCAGGATCTGTCAAAAGAGACGAACTGCGCTGTCATGTGATTATATCCACTTCCTGCTCTCCTTCACGTCTGCCTGGAAAACTCTGGATTGGCTCAGACCTCTACACGGCAGAACACATGTCTGAATGATGTTAGTGTTGTTCAATGCATAGCTTCACTGTGACAAACTACAGTATGACAATTCAATGACTTGTTAGTTTGACTGTGAAGAGGCCTTACAGTAACCGTATCAACCTCAATAATCCTTACTTGTTCCCTCTTTTAACCTCTCTTACTGCTCAAGGTATGAGCTTTGCCCTGATTTTAAATGAGTGTGTGTGTACTTGAAATAATAAATATTGCATTTATAATAAGGGTTAGAATCATAAATGCAGAGAAAGCTTGTGACAATGCACAGGAAGAGAAGTTTAGAATGTGTGTATTGAGCTGCAGAACTATGATTCATAAATATATTGTCAAGACACATGGAACATGATGGGATCATGTAGTGTGTAAACAAGCCAAATTAAAAGCTGTAAGTTTCAGATTTCCTGAACCCAATAAAATAAAAGCATTGAACAGAAGGCCTTAAACCTTACATTGTACAAATATATACTGTAAATGTAAATTGTAACCACTGAAAAATATTCCACATTTTAACTTATCTCTGCAATAATGATTAGCATGTTGCAAGTGTCAAGTAAATATAGTCAAATATCTAGGTGGCTTTTCAGCTGTGGCACTTTTACAAGTGTAGTCCACTAACTTGTAACCATTTGGTAGAAAATTATTTTATTGATCACTGTAAAACAATCCGTAACAACTATATACATGATGCAAATGATTCTTTCTTGGCTGATGGGTACAAATGTCAACCCACTCCAGTGTAAAAAGTTGAGGTGTAATATACGGTACATACATTTAATTAAATGGGCCACACTCAAGTGGAGTGGTGCTACATAATTTTGCATGTCCCATGAATTTTAAGTTTTATACTGTTGTATTTATTCAGAAATACACATGTTATGAATTCTGGGTTAATTCCCATTTTTACCCATTTTTCACTATCAAGATTTGGTCTTCACACAAAGTGCAATCATGCTGCTCATGGTATTGAACAATTACAGTCAATATGACATAAACCATAATGGATTTGATTGTTTCAGCTGCAATGTCAATTTGCTCTAGCTCATTCGTTGTATATGCCAAGAAATCGAAAAAGCTGGAGAAAAAAAATCTGATTTTTTTTTATGCTTTGCTTTGACAAGATGATGTATTGGAATGTGAGATTTAAAAAGGCTGATGGAAACATCCTAGATCAGATGAGCCATCACACTGGATGCAGTTCACTGCAACAGCTTCTGAAGGAAGTCTTGGCATCCCTGAAAGTGTTGGAAAAGCAGTTTGATAGCCAACTGTTCAATAACATAAGGCTTTCTTCATGCCCATGCTCACTACAAAACCTCTAATCAAAAGTGGTGCAGAGTTTCTTTTGCTTTCATGTCATTCATTTCCTTGGTTTACCAGTGGTCAACACGAAACCCGGTGTTCTATTGGTTGGGGAATTTTGACAGGGTTGTAACACAAAAAAATCCAAGAGCTGACGATTCACAAGTGCACAGGAAGCAGACAGAGTGCTGAGAAGGGGTGAAGCTGGAGCGCAGGAAATCCGTGCGAGCAACAATATATATGAGTGCAAGCACAGTTTGAGCAGAAGCAGAGCAAATATATGTGCAAACGGGCTATTTTAGTGCAAGGGCAGGATTATGATGAAAAGTAATACGCAATCTGAACATAAATTCAACAAGTCATGCACTTGAACTGAAAGACCATGCTCTTGAATAAAGATAGGATAAAAACTTCCTAGCTAAAATGCTAAAAATTGTGAAAGTGGGAAATATTGTCACCATTAATTAAACATCACTGTGTTAATGCATTTACATTACATTGAGGACAAAGTTCTCTGTACTTAAGTACAGTCACACTCTTGCTGTTGTTGCAATAGCAGTTTCTGCTTCACATGCTGCTGCCACTCACCAGTACATGACTCCCGCTCTACACCAGAAAGACGGTACATACAAGCGGAACCTTTAACATCAGCTGAACGATGAGCAGAGCTTCATTTAACTGTGCAGGAATGAGTCAAATTGAACAGCTAATGGATATTCAGATGAACGATGTACCTTAATAACATTATCTGACTTAAATTCATCTCATACAAGTAACTTCATTTTATCAAGCACTTTATTTGGAACACTTTGTTATAATGCAATCAGCCAGCCATGTGGCAGCAATTAAACAATATCAGAATGATATTTGACTGTGACATGATTGTTGGTTTGAGTTTTTCTGTATCTTGATCTCCTGATAGCAGAGGTTTTACTTAGAATGGAGCCAAAATAAGAATGGTCCAGTTAGCAGCAGATCTGTGTTAATGTTAATGAGAGGGGTCAGACTGGTTGGAGCTGAAAAAAGCTACTGTACATACCCACCCTTAACAACTGTGAGAACAGCAAAGCATCTTAAAAAGAACTTTAAGGGCACTTATAGATCACCTAGCTCCCCTAAGGCCAACACTTACACCTTATCTTACCATTTTAAACAAAGTAGAAAAAAAGTCCTGGATCCGCTCCATGGTTCTGTTCATGCCCCACCCCTCCACACATTTTTATGAACATCGTTTCAGTGAAATGAAAACCTGAGTTTTGAAAGCAGTTTTACTGTGATGTTCCTCAAAAAGTGCTTGGTGGGAGTATTAGAACAGAACAACAGATCTGTAGGTCATCTTGTGTTGATTCCACGTAGTGACATTAGTCCAGTCATTTCATTATTCTTCAGGAAACATGATATTGTTTGTCAGTGCGGACTGTGTGAGAAATGACGGAGCATGCCCACAGTTGCCACAGTGATGCAGTTGTTCCTGGGTCTGGGTTTCCACGGTAATGTTTATAGGGAAAAGGTTGCAAAGGCTGGTTCAACCTCTTGGAGAAGTCTCAGTGGCTTCAAGCCTGCTGTTGAGTATTTGGATGTTACTCACCTCCCCTTCATTTGAGGTGTGTTCCGTATTGTACAGTGTAGTCTACACCATAGTCTCTTTGTTGTTGGTTTTGCTGAGGCTGTTTATGAACAGGCTCTGTTTGTTGTGTGTAATGTGGCCAGACAAGGGAATCTGCAGTCGCACTCTCTGGTCAGTTTTCTTCCACGTCTTGAACAGATTAATGTGGTAGCGCACAGATACCTGAGAAACAAATAACCATCATGTATCAGTACAGTTTCCTTCCCTATGATGGGCCTTTGGACATCCATATACATTTAGCTTTCTGAGGATTATAAATATTCAAATATTAATATCAAATAATAACTTTAATTGATATTCAAGTCAGCATGAGGCACCAAGATAGCAAATTCACTGATTCAGTCTCATGGAGAATTTAGACAATGCTTAATAATTAAGATAACAACTATAATCAAAATTGCCTTTTCAAGTTAACAAAGGTTGAAGGATTTATAGTTATTGGCAGTGTAGAGCAAAATTCCCAATTGTCGACATTGATAAACAGACAGCATGTGTGTTCAAGCAAAACTTTTATCATTAAAATTATAAAAACACAAGCTATCTAAAAGTGTACTCACTATATACAAGTGTGTGATGTTTGTGTTAACATGGGTGTAAGAGAGGGTGTGTGGGGGTCAAAATGGCAGCTGTGGCTACTGCAAAAGCATAAAGCAAGCATGGGTTGTCTCGACTATGTGGCTGAGGTCACGTGTGTGTTGAATTTGGCTGAGATGTGTGTGTGAAGTGCTGGCACCAGATTAAAGAGAGTGGTTATTCCTACTCTCCTTCCCGAAGAAGAGAGAGAGCAGAGGGTGAGCTGCCTTTTTAGGTGACGTGGTGCCATCACAGCCAGGGACCAGACTAACCAGTGGTGGCTGCATGATGGGATAGCCCTCTCAGGTATGAAAACCGACTGGGTCAACGGGTCGACTACACGAGACTGAGTTCTGGATGCTCTTTAGGACAAAGGAGACATGCAGCCAATCTACACATGTAGGCCCATCTATTGTTTCCCATTAGTAGGTCCCAACACATATTAATGTTGTAATCAATTCATGATTACAATTGTACAAATTGAACAAACTCTATTCATGAATGAAGACCATGAGATGTGGTTGAAACCTTGTAAAAATGTAGTGAGTGGACCTTGAGCTAAGATTATTTTGTCAAACTACAGTTTCCCAGATCAAAAATAAAAGCTGCTAATCAATATTTTTATGTTAACAACCAAACCAATATTGATCACCAACTAAACTGTGGACAAGCATCGTAGACCCTGAACTTACCATGGTCCAGAAGACATATATGGTAAACAGAGCCAGGGTGAGGACCAGCAGCCCCACAGCCTCCATGCCATTAGTGTAGTAGAGGTCCATGGCTCCCTGAACACACAGCCATCCTGACAGGCTGGCCAGTGGCGTGATGAACAGGAAACATACTACATCACCACACAATGTCCTCCTCTGCTGCTGCATAGATGGAGCACACAACCACTGCAGCGAAGGAGAAGGGTTAATGATGTAAAAGTACATCACATGATAGAAGTTAAAGCCAGGACCTTGGTGGTGGGCAGTTTGGGGTCCTCTCTAACAGATAGTTAAGTTTCCTTTATTATTCCCACAAGGGGGAATTTATACATGCAGTTTAACCCAATCACACACACACACACACAGGAGAGAGATTGTAGAGTAAAGTGATGGGCAGCCCCAGGAAAAGCGCCCTGTGAGCAATTGGGGGGTATGGTGCCTTGCTCAAGGTCACCTCAGCAGTGCCCTGGAGGTGAAGTGACACCTTTCCAGCTACCAGTCCACCTTCCATGCTGGACTTGAGCCGGCCACCCTCCGGTTCCCAAGCCAAATCTTTATGGACTGAGCTACTGCTATATACCTTGAATACCTTGGATGTACAGTACAGCATTTGACCAGAAGGTGGTACTAATTACTTGGATCTTGTGAATGGTTGCATGCAGGAAGAGGTAGGATTATGGGTAAGGTTTCAGTACTAGTACAAGTGTTGAAGCCAAACGTATTAGAATGCTAATATATCTTCAAACTTCTCTACTTACTCTGAGATAATAGGTTAACGATAAAATGGTATCATAATGTCATATAAAATCACAGTTTTTATATTTATTCATCTTAGAGAAGCACTCTGATATTTTGCTAAAATAAAATTAGTAATATGACAATGTATAGATTCTTGTATTAATTATACTATGCAAATTATAATGACTAAATTATTAATTACATGTGGAAGCATCTTTGTTGCAGCTGCTGAAGCTAAGCTATATAGTGCTGACTACAAAATCGCAACATAATAGATTTGTTCATTAATGTGATTGGGGTGAAAGTACCATTTGGCAGAAAATGTATAGTTCAAGAACAAATGAAGAATGAATTCAGTACTGAGTAGAGTACTGGGCTAAAGTAAATGTACTTGGGTACTTTCAATATCTGTCAGTAAAATCCACAGCCACTGGGCAGTTTAGGAATGATATTGAATCTCAATCCTCTCACAGTAAAATATGTG